CAAGATTACCAGAAAATATACTGTATCAAATTATCCAAACTCTCATTTCCTAAAAATACATTTATTGTTTATTTTTCCATGTTTTGTGATTCAGCAACTTAAAATTTCCAACTCATCATTTTCATTAATTTGAATATCTTATTAAGAGTTTTCAGCATCATTTAACCGTCAACCACAGACTCAGATAATGAATTCTGGTCTTCCATCTTAATTTATAAATTAAGATAGGATATAAGGAAATATGCAAATGTACTGAAATATGCTTCAGCATTTTTTCACCATGTTAGTGGGTGTGTGCTACCCAGGCTTCAGTGACTAATGCTGCTAAGTATTGCATGTTAATCCTGTTCTGTGAGCAGCCAAGGAGAAAAGCCTCCAGTGACTGACAACCAGCAAAGCTATCACATGGGTCCTGCTCTCACATTATTTCCCCCTCACACCACAGACACACAGGTACACACATAGGCTTTCACACTTGTACGCATGGGCACATGCAATGCACAGCACAGTGGAGAGACAGGAAGGACGGCAAGAGAAAAAAAAAGTCAGGATGAGACGAGAAGAGAGCATCCCTGCATTTTAGTTACATTCAGTCTCTGCTGCAGTGATGGTCTCTGATCCCAAACTATTTAGGTTTTTCTACTCGTATACCATTATACAGATGTATCATACAACTGTATGGAGAAAACTTTCTGCGTTTTCAGGTTGTTGGCTCCTTTTCTGAGCATGCCTGCAGCCCTGTAATCTTTGTAGTTTCCCCACTTCATCACACCCCCTAGGAAGTAAAACACCAAATACAGGAATAATGAGATTAATTCTCTCTCACTCTTTTAAGCATTTCTACCAGATGAAGATCTGACTTGGAATGAAACAGTCTTTTTCAACAGATATATATACAGTATATATTATATATATATATATATATTTATTTATATGCACAAATAGGCTGACAGATGTTTTGTTGGGTATTGTTAACCAGTATAAAGGTAATACATCAAGATATCAACAAAACATCAAAAATACAGTTAGAAGAGCAGTAGGAAGAAGAGGAACTTTAATATGATGTAAAGAAAGCATCTTAAAATTGATATACAAATAAATATCATCACACCTAAAGAGAGAGTGTGTGTGTGTGTGTGTATAATTACAACCCTTAAATTAACTAATTTGCAGCAAACTTTGGGGTAATAAAGTAAACATATTTTGAATCAGTCTGTGATATGTCATATCCTATGCCATGCATCACCCCTTTTCAGTCATGCGGGAATATCTGCTCATGGAGCTCCTAAATTCCTAAAAGCAATAATTGAGCTACCTTTAGTTGCACAGTTTCTGATGAGACTGAAACGGTTGGGGAACTGAATTAGGATATAGGATCTCAATACAGCCTGGACTGTGCGTCATGCAGTGCACTTTTTCCCTACTGCACCAAGGAACAGCACCGAAGCAGAGAGAGAGAGAGGCTTGTAATAGTGACACAATTTCCCTAGACTCCATGTGGCAGTGCCTGACACCAGTATGCAGTTTGAATGGTACCTGCAGTAACAAAGGAGTAACACAAGCCACTGTCTGCTGCTGTCTGATGCAGTTTGTAGCAGCAACCAACACAGAAGATACAGTAGAGACATTATCAGTAAAGAGGGTGCATAGGGTGCATGTCTGCTGTCTCTGGTTGCATGTTATTCTTTTGTTTTGTATCTATATTTCCTAAATTGTATACTGTATATTAGCAAAAAGAAAAACGGTAGCAATCATTCTCCTGCTTCAAAGTGAGAAAGCAAAAAAGAAATATGTCGTTTTTATATGCATGTAAAGACAGTTAATGAAATGCATAATTGTAAGTCAATGAAATATAAATATGGGCACTAATATACATTCATAAGTGAATTTCATGCTTCAGAACGGACTGCTTGAACAAAAATAGACGCAGCTTGTAAAGACAGTGGAATGATGAAAGAGACTGTAGGCATTGGCACGTCGGCTAGAATGGCTACAGATTGTCTCTGGCAGTCGCAACAGAGCCGGGCAGTGACATAATTGCACCCAGTGGACACTGGGGGCGACAGCCTTTATTCTGATACTATCCAAGCATGACTGCAGCATGCCAAAGAGTTCACTACAACAAAATGAGTGGGGAAAAATTGTGCAGGGAGTAATGTTTTTTTTTTTTTTTTTTTTTTTTTTTGGAATGGTTTTTGGATGGTAAGTCTATATCACAGCATAATGTAAGATAGCTCGATACATTTGTTGCTGGTTTTGGTCTTTTTGTGGAATTTGTTGTTACTTATAAAAAAAGATAAAATAGCATCAGCCTTATCCAGGTTTCTATTTGTATATCGGGGTCCCAAGACTCCTGCGTTCGTGTGTGTGTGTGTGTGTGTGTGTGTGTGTGTGTGTGGGTGTGGGTGTGTGTGCGTGCGTGCGTGTATGCGTGCGCATGCACACTCAAATGAAATATTGACATCCCATTCACCAGGTCCTGTGAGTATCAAGGTGAGTGAAGCAGTGGAAGATTGACTAGAGAGTGGAACAGGATGGAGAGGGAAATAGAAATGAGAAGGCTGGATAGGGAGTATAGTGAAAGTGAGCGTGTAAGTGCAGAAATATACTGTGACTGTGTGGGCGCAGAGCAGGAGCAGGAGCTACAGAGATGGAGTGTGATGTGGGGAGAAATTGGAAAGGGAAAGATGGCAAAAAATAGAGAAGGCGGATATCAAGCAAGTCAGTGGATAGAGGGAAGGAGGGGAACAAGATGGGGAGAAAATGGGGAGAACGTGTTGGTGTTTAATGGAGGGTGAAGAAGGGTGAAAGGCAGAGACAGACCATGGAGGAATGGAGCACTGGAGGCTATGAGTACCCTTTGTTCACACACATTTCAGTGATACAGGAATTCACACCTACAGTAGCAAGCTCTGTAAAAATGCAACACCACACCCCGAGTGAAGCGTGCTGAGAAAACCAATGGGTGTTCTTTCAAATCTAAATTTAATGTAATCAGGCATCTCATTAAAAAAAACATCTGCTGTTTGGAGTTACATCCTCACAAAACGCAAACACACAGTTTGTGTTACAGAGGTAGGATTACGTGGATTTAAATCAGACAGACGGATCAATAACAGATGGGAGTAATAAATATTAGGGGCAGGCACAGACCTCGCAGCAAGATGGGTCCAGATAGTTTGAATTGTTTCATCTCAGCATGAAGCTTCAGGGTAACTGGCTCCAGGTAGCTGGAGCACAAAATCTGAAAAGCTGATCAGTGCTAATGGAAAAACCTGGAGTATCAATATGTCCCGAGAGACAGTCTGATGAAGTGACCTTAGTAGTGACACTAGATGAGACAAGAAGAAACTTTCACTGACACTTTTGTTGACATATCCATCCACCCCGATCTCCTCCATACATGATCTACGATTTGTACCACATTCAAAATACATCTGGCAGCTAATAAAGAGGTAAACATGAATAATATCAGGACACTCTGAAGTCCCAGTGGGACCAAAGTGTGGATTTTCAGCAGCCTTTACATCTCATTTCAGTCACCAGAAGCAGCCGAATGAAATTAGAAGTACATACACAGTTTCCTGTATGGGGGATCAGGTTGTGTAAGGAGTGAATCATACTTATAAGAAGCTGGGAACACATTAGAATAGCTCTTAAAATCCTAACCAACTGTGAGAAAATGTGGCATCACACTTATGCATAGTGCAGCCCCAGAAAAGCTTACTGCATTCAATTTCCTTTAATTAACCACCTCAAACTACAGGATCACGTCCATTTGCTCCCAGATAAAGGAGAAATAATCTGTAGGGGGAGTCACCCGGTGAATACTTGATGACTAATTGACAAAGAGACGCACACTGAAACAAGGGTGATACAGACTGATCTGTGTATTACTCAACTTATCATGATCTCTTCAATGAGTGTCTTTACCAGAGAAACCAAAGAATTGAACCCCACACTGAAAGTCTCTTTTGTCTATTAGAGGCCTTTGAATTGAGGCAATGTTAATTGCTGTGTATTTTGGTTTATTAAAACTTTGGTCTTATCTTTCATAATTTTCGCCATCAGTGTAATTGGTACTGATAACATCGGGTTCACCAAAGTAATTGCTGAGATCTGGGAACGTGGCAACAGTGCTACAGTGAAGTGTGACGGAGCAAGAAACAAGTGGTCAGATCACACAGACTATAACTGACAGATTATCCAAACCACTTCATTTTGAGGTAAAACAGAAAACGAGGGCACCTGAAATGTTGATGATAATCCCTCAGTGCACAAAAAACTACATGGTCAACTACAGAAAGTACAGTGGGTCAAAGCTGAAGTCACACTGTGAAGGATGTTTACATTGGACATTTGGGCATGAATTCCTGAACCGAATTTCATGGCAATCTATCCAATAGTTGTTGAGATAAGTCAGTGTCGACCAAAGTGATGGAACAACTGACTGACTGACCAACATTACTATCCCCAGAGCCGCTAGCATGGCTAAAAATGGACAAAGGCATAAGGGAAATACAAACATAGTCAACCAAGAACACATGTTCATTTTACAATAGTTGGATGGTTGAACACGGTTTCAAAGGGTGGGAGCTTCCACAGCCAATGTTCAGGTGCCTCAACACAAGATTTAAATATATTAGTATACTAGATATAATAATCGAAATGTGAGAGTGAATGGTTGTTTGTCTCTGTGTGCCCTGCGATGGACTGGCGACCTGTCCAGGGTGTACCCCACCTCTCGCCCGAAAGGATGCTGGGATAAGCTCCAGCCCCCCCCCGCGACCCTACTAGAGGATAAGCGGTAGAAAATGGATGGATGGATGGATATAATAATCGATAGGAAAAGTGGCCCAAACTACAAAAAGAAGCTCCAGGTTACATGACACTGGAATTTCTCTTTAGTGCAGACATATGAACATACATCGATCTTTGTTTTCTCATACTTGTTAGTATCATTCACCTCTTACAGCATCTGTTTTGGTTTTCTCTGCCAGGTGCTGCTCTCTGGACTGATCGGAGTGGTGTCATGGAAGAGGCCGCTCTCTCTTGTGGTGAGTGTCCTCTGAACACCCACACTCAGCCGTTAATATGACAACCCTGAACAAAGCAATAATACCCAAGAGGGAGTCTTTTATTGCGAGGATGGAATTGATGGAGACGTGAAGACGTACAAGAGACACACATTCACATGATGAAACAGATGACTAAACATGATGATGTATGTTTCTTTCATGCGAGGTGCACCTCATGTGCATCAGTATACACACTACATGAGAATGCAAATCACAACAAAGCATAAGACATTATATACTCATGTGATTACCTCAGATGCTTTAGCAAACCAGAAAAGCATGCAAATCAATCATTACTTATTTACCAGTAAAATCTGTCACTGATTATAAATATATGCAGTATCTGTAAACCTATAAATAGTCCCTACGCTGCCATCTCAGCTTATTAACACAATATGAGTGCTGAAAAATCCAAACGTTGTGTGCTGCTCCCACTTGTGGTTTAGCAGCTGTAGAAACTGTAACTGAACGTGGTCTCAACTTTGGGGCATGTTCAGGTTTTGTTAAATTCCCTGGATCACAGCTCCAGTGTTGTATGTTTTCACAGCCACTGACCTGGAAACTACAGGACCAAAGTCAGTCAGAAGTCTTTGCAGTTTTCATTTTTCTTGTCTATGCTTGCACCGATGAAGAGTCGCTGAACTGTGCTACTCAGTTCAAACACACATAGCATCATTCAGGATTGAAAGCTTTGTGCTGCCATGTACGCGGCACTGTCTGAGCTCAGATCACAGGATGTTGGATTTTTATCAAACTGCTAAGAGAGAAATTTTGGACTTAAGGGAAAGATAAATGTAAGAGAGCTCTGGCAGTTTTTGAGTTTGCTTAAGAGCAGATCTTAACTGCAGCACAGAACTAGAGGTGGACGCACACCTGTTTTTGAGTGATTGGATTAAGATAGCTTTAGCTCACGATTTGCCTATGACTTAGACATCTGATGTGATGTTATACCACTTTTCTTGTTTTTTTGCATTTATCATAGGTGCAAACAACAAGAAAGAAGCTGGCACTGATTTGTGTGCATTGACTTCCCATGTCAGTGTGGTGCTAAATTCTTCCTATTATATGATTTGTTTGATGTTTGTCGACTACCAGCAGACAGAATTTCATTCTTACCTCAGTTTGGTTTTCCTCTTGTTTCCTTGTAAACCAATTTCTATAATTTCATCCCTGTTTATACATTTATATTATAAATATTTTAGAAATCTTTAGAGTAAATCTCTTAAGTCGAATAAATACAGAACCAGGGAGTAAAATCATTCGTTGCCGAGTGTGAGAAATAAGACACATTTATTGAGCTACTTAGTATAAAGTGTAAGAGTAACCTTAAGCGCAAGTCACATGATTAATCACATGCACGCTCTTTGTGAATAGCCAATCAGAAGGAAGGATATACCCTACATCTATCATATTGTTCTTTTTTTGATATTCTGCAAAAATGTATAACTTTTTTTAAAAGTTTATTTTACTTATGTAAAACTTGTGTATCCAGTAGCAATTAATATGTGAAATTAGTTAATCCATCAAATTTAAAACATATAAATATGTAAAAAGTGATGAAATTATAAGAAATTGGCAGAAAGGGGAACAAAAAGAAACTCCACAGCTGCCTCTAAATCACATACCAGTAATAAAGAGAGTTTAGTACCACATGGATGATTCAGACCATCATGCTGCACGGAAAGTGACTGCAAACAACATCAATTATTTATTCTTTATTCTTGATGTTCACAACCCTAATAAAGACAAGAAAGGGTGTGTAACATCCTGTCCAGTGTTCCAATCATTGCAGATATCTGGCTAAAGCTAACCTGAATCATACATAGTGCTTCAGCTAATGCATTATACGTCATGACCAACATATTACAGTTCGCCTGAAACAGAAGGTGTCTGAGACCTGCTCTTAACTAACTGAAGAGATGTCTTTTTGAATTAAAGAGTATTTTTAAGTTGTAAGAAACTTCATGAACAGCTTTTATTCTTAAAATTGTGAGTAGAAGTGAAGATTCTTACTTTTGGTAAATAACTAGATCACTTTTATTTTTATGTACTTTTTTATTTTCTTGGTCTTGCAGTGTTGCTTTGCATCAGGGTGGTAAAATGTTTCTCTCACTCCCAAGATTTCCAGGGATTAATTTGTTTGCAGAAATAGAGGCTGAAAAGCTTTAAATGACCGACTATTATCCCTTCCTTTGTACTTCAGAATAACACACAGATGCATCATGGTTTACTTGTAACTGAAGATGATCTCTCTCTGTCTACATAGCTTTCAGTCTTTCTGTCTTTTAAAGTGGAGATGAACTACAAGCCCCTGCTCGATTCTATTTCATGGTTTCTTAATGCCATAAATAATCTCATCTCATTTTTGCAGCTTTACCCCCCCCCCCCCCCCGCCTCACACACACACACACACACACACACACACACACAACTGCATATCACTTGCCTCGCTCCCTTTAGTTTTATCACCTTGCTTCCCTGCCACACAATATCAGCATCCTCTCCCTTAACATTTCCATTACCTCTTCCTTTCTTTGCTTTTTCGTAGTGTTAGGCCCAAGAAGGAGATGTGAATCATTTCGGCTCTTGGGGATCAAAGGAAATATCCCATCATTGAGGTGTGAGTTGAAATTGGTCACACATTGTGCGCTGTAAAAGAGTTAAATCCTCTTACTTTTCTTTCCTTAAAAAGCGTGACTAATTTACTGGAATAGTCTTGTGCCTGCACGTACACAGAGATGTCAGTCCACAGTTGCTGCTCCCTGTCTTTAGAAGGGTCTAAAAGGTAATATCTAGTGTGTTTTTTTTTTTTTTTTGTGACTGTTAATGTAGCATGTAATGTTCAGTCCTGACAGGCGAGCTTTTTCATTTCTGGCGTCGACCCAGTGCTGACTGGCAGGTGACTAATACACCGGCTGGACGCTTTCAGGCCTGGCAATGCTGCACCAACCCATCTGCCAACTGTGGGTGGGCTAGCTCTGCATCGGGATTCGTAATGACTGGAGTTTCTCCAAACCTTTTAAGTATGTGCATTAAAGACTGCTGACTTATTTGAGATTGGTCTCTGATCTGGTCAAGTTAGGATTTTACTCAGCGAAGGATTAGTCGATTACTCCATTAGTCAGTTTAATAACAATGTATTTCATAATGATTTCAAGTCAATTGTTGTGCAAAAATGCCCAATAGTTGATGCTTCCAGTGTCTGGATGTGTGTGTGGATGGACCTTTTCTCTATTTTATGGTGCTGCAAATTGATTATGTTCTGGTTTTGAACAGTTAAACAAATTAACCACGTTACTTAAAGGAATCGTTTGCCATTTTGGGAAATATGTTTATTTGCCTTCTTGCTGAGAGTTAGATGAGAAGATCAATCCCATTCTCATGTCTGTCTGTTTTAAAAAAGAAGCTACAGTAAGCAACTGGTTTGCTTAGCTTTGCTTACATTGGAAATGGGGAAACAGCAGTATGTTCTTTAATCCATAAAAAAAAAAAAACAAAGTGTATGGAGTCTCCACTGGTCCATTGACTACCTCAAGACTCCAGTCTTTATGCTAAGCTAAGCTAACCCGCTGCTGCCTGTGGCTTCATATTGAAAAGACAGGCATAAGAGTGGTATCAACCTTCTAATCGAACTCAGGGCAAGAAAACAAATATGCATTTTCATTTTCATTCCTACTCCTTTATGGTTCAGAGAAATTGTGTTGGGTGGGTTTTTATTATTCTATGACATTTTATAGACTAAAAATAGCTATAAACAGCTATACCTGCAACCATAAATACATTTGTATGAGATATAGCAAGGTGCTTTTTATTGCGATGATCTTTCAATATTTTGACCTTTTTTTGAGTCAGTCTGTATTTTGAGATCTTTGCTCCCACCCTGATGTATTAGACAGGCAGATATGGGTTATAAATAGAAAAGGTGAGACAGGGTATAGAGAAGAAAGCTTGTGCAACACTTTTGGCTCTGACACACTGCAGTCAAGTCGGCGCATGAGGCTGAGTGCAATGTTAGGATGGTTGGAGATGGCATGTGTGTAAGCCACAGTAGATAAACAGGCACACAATTGTGGAAGAGAAGATATGTTGAATATGAAATTCTGTTGACCCCAAAGTTTTCCTCATAAACTTCACATGAAAGATTTTTGATACTGTATATTACACTCAGTGGAATTGAGAAAAACGCACTGCATCCATGTTTGAAGGAAATCTGCCTCTTCCACCTTATCTGGAACAGCTAATAAACATTGTAGTTTCCTATCCATTCTAGTCTGCTGCATTAATGCCACGGCAGATTTACTCTCTATCACTCAGAGCCAGGAGAAAGACAAGACTACCTGCAGTCTTCTGCTGTTTGTGACTGTGATGGATTATGTGTTTAGAGAAAGAACTAGACAGAGTTAGAGGGCAGTAAGTCCTTGTTTGCCCTGCAGGGAAACATCACTGAAAGTCTGCAGTAAATAGCCTCTGTCTCAGGAAGCCTCGACTGTTGTTGCTTTGTTGCTGTTATTAGTTTGTTTAAAACACGTACAGTGCACACAACACATGGCTCTACATCTACATATGCATTTAATGTACAGTTAATTTCATTTAAATAAATGCAATTCCAATACAGCACTTTGTCGTGTCAGAACATCAACTCTGTGACTTGCATTACTCTCTCTCTCTCTCGTCAGCGGAATCGGATTTGACTGCAAGATTCGACTATTTGTACCTTTTTTTTCATTTAGTCACAGCTCAGTTATGAAATTGTACTGCACCGCAGTACTGCACTCCCTGATGATGTAATACAAACACCAAATCATTTTGAAAGAGCAACGGCCGATGGGAAAAGTCCAACACTCCGCTGGCCTACCAATGATGTAACTTCATCACTCACTCAGCTACGGACATTTGCTTTGTGGTCCACTGAAAAATACACCTGCCAACACTGCTAAATTAACTCGTACCATGTTTGTTTAAAGGAGCTTTTTGTAAGT